GTTGAGCATTTTCTCATGTGTCTCTTGGCCATCTGTATGTCCTCTTTGGAGAAGTGTCTATTCAGGTCCTTTGCCCATTTCTTAATTGGGTTGTTTGTCTTCCTCTTGCTGAGTACTACGAGTTCTTTGTACACTTTGGAAATTAGCCCCTTATCAGATACATCCTTAGCAAATATGTTTTCCCAGACTGTGGGGTTCCTTTGTATTTTGAGGCTGTTTTCTTTTGCTGTGCAGAAGCTTTTTAGTTTGATGTAGTCCCATGTGTTTATTTTTTCTTTTGTTTCTCTTGCCCTAGGAGATGTATCCGTGGAAATTTCACTACATGGGATGTCTGTGACTTTACTGCCTATGTTTTCTTTCAGGGTTTTTATGGTTTCGTGACTTACATTTAAGTCTTTTATCCATTTTGAGTTTATTTTTGTGTATGGTGAAAGTTGGTGGTCTTATTTCATTTTTTTGCACGTATCTGTCCAATTTTCTCAGGACTACGTATTGAAGAGACTGTCTTTACTCCATTGGATACTCTTGCCTCCTTTGTCAAATATTAACTGACCATAATGGCGTGGGTCTGTTTCTGGGGTCTCTTATGTTACATCTTTGTTAAAGGGCCATTTTATCATGCTGTTGCTATCCATTATGTTTTATCATTCCTTCTTCGAGTCTGCTTTCCATGGAAACATGAAATCAGCTTTCCTTTGGTTAGTGATTACTTATGTATCTTTTTCCATCTTCTTACTGCCAATCTACATATATTCCTCTCTGTAAATGGTGTTTCCTTTGTTGCTTTATGCCATCAGTCCTTTAATTGGATTGGTTAGTCCAGAAGTTGGCGATTTGTTCTGTAATGGGTCAGAGTACATGTTTTCCTTTGATAGTTATAAGGTCGCTTATGGAACTCCTAGGCTGTGCTGTTTCAGCACAAAAGCAACTACAGACAATACTAAATGATGGGGGGGAGGGGGGGCAGTGACTGAGTCCCAGTAAAACTTGATTGAAAAAGTGGAAAGCTGGATTTGGCCACAGGTCATAATGTGCTGATCCCTAGCCTAGAGTATGTATGGCTTGGGTTGTATATTGGGGTGTGAGATAAAATTGTAGGAAATTTTTTATTTTTTTTGCTTAAAAAATTCAAGCAACAAAAGCTTTACTAATGTGCTTATTGATTGTACTTGTATATAACTCAAAATTATATACAAATTAAGTTAAAAACACTTTCACTTATTTTCATTTATTGTTTTAAGCTCCTTACAGTAAACATAATAATTGGTTTCATATGTATTTTTCTATTTCACCTAATTCTGAACCCTTCAAATTGAACAGAAATGTACTGTTGCAGGCATCAGTGTCATTCAAAGATGTGACTGTGGAGCTCACCCAGGAGGAGTGGCAGCAGATGTGTCCTATTCAAAGGAGCCTGTACAGACACGTGATGCTGGAGAACTACAACAACCTAGTCTCCGTGGGTGAGCATATAAGCATAACTTAGGTTTATAACACTGTAGAAGGCACTGCTTTTTTCTGCACTAGTACAAATGGATACTTTACTTAGATTTTAATGTTATTGGGAGTTTTAATTCAGTAGTATAACTAAGCCCTGTTGAGGAATGTGCTGTCAACTCCCAATGATAAATTCAAATGAGAACCTTCAGGTTGCTCTTCCTGAAGCTGTATCTTTTTCCACTTTTGGATACTAAAGAGCTTATCATCCAGCCTAAGCGCTCCATTGTGCCCTGTTTATAGGGAACTGCATTTTCAAACCAGAGGTCATCTTCAAGTTGGAGCAAGGAGAAGAGCCTTGGTTCTTAGAGGAAGAATTCTCAAACCAGAACCACCAAGGTGAGTTACTGAGCACTAGCAGAAAGCACTGTGGGGCTAGTTAGACTCTAGAAGGTCAATTTAGCATGAACACCTTTGTATTTCAAGACTTTTCTTAAAAGGCACAAAAAGCACCAATCAAAAGGAAATGATTAACAAATTTAACTAAATGAAAATTGAGAACTTTGTTCATAAAAGATACCATTAAAAGGATGAAAAGACAAGCCAGAGTAGCAGAATATGTATACAGTACAAGTAAACTGAGAAGGATAAGCATCCTGAAAATGTAAGAACTTTTGCAGGTCAGTATAGGGAAAGGTAGCAACTCAATTGAAAAACAGGCTAAAGACTTTAAATAAGAACTTTGAAATGGCCAACTAAATGTTTGAAAATGTACTCAACCTTACTACTTTTCTCAGAGTGCAAAAAATATTTAAGAGAGATGTACAATATGTGGTGAGGTCCTGATGAGGATGTGCAATATTAAAGATCCTCATTCACTGACTGAAAATGTAAACTGGTAAAACCACTGTGGAATTAGGAGGATGTTATCAATCAAGTTGAAGTTTTACATACCTTGTCACTAAGCAGTCCCTTTCCTAACTGTATTCCCTACAGAAAGGCATGATTGTATTCTCTAGAATGAATAAAAGAATACTTATGGCAGTACTGTTTTTGTCAAAAATTGGGCTCATCAGCAGTAAAATAAATAATTGTATTCCTAAGGGAGAGCCCGGCCAGCATGGCTCAGTGGTTGAGCATCCACCCATGAACCAGGAGATCGAGATTTGATTCCCGGTCAGGGAACATGCCCAGCTTGTGGGCTTAGAGACAGCCGATCAATGACTTTCATCATTGATGTTTCTCTCTCTCTCTCCCTCTCTCTAAAATCAGTAAAAACATATTTTTAAAAAATAAAGCTACATAAAGTCTTATGCACTGATTAAAAAGATACTATTAAGTGAAAGAAACCAAAAATATAAGTATGTATGTGTAATTATGTGTTAGAAAAAGGCAAAATCCAGTTACATTTTTTAGGAAGTCACATATTGGTGCTAAAACTATAAAGAAAATACAGGAAATTATTAAATAAACATTAAGAGGATCAAATAGGGATTTTTGCAGAGCAGTTTGTGTTCTATTTTCTGACGTGGTTTCTAATTCCATGAGTGTTCACTGTATACATTTATGTTGTACATATAAATTTGATGCAGATATAAATTATGATTAACAGAGAGTTAAGAAATGAGCCAAAAGTAGATGATATTTGCAAGTCATATAACACATAAACAACTAGCATCCAGAATACATAAAGAATTTAGAGGTTTTGTTTTGTATATGTTTTGGGTTTTTTTCCAGAGAGAGGAAGGGAGAGGGAGAGAGAGAGAAATATCAACAATGAAAGAGAATCATAGATTGGCTGCCTCCTGCATGCCCCACACTGGGGACGGAACCCGTAACCTGGGCATGTGCTCTGATGGGGGCCTCGAACTATGACCTCTAGGCTCATGAGTCAGTGCNTGCATGCCCCACACTGGGGACGGAACCCGTAACCTGGGCATGTGCTCTGACGGGGGCCTCGAACTATGACCTCTAGGCTCATGAGTCAGTGTTGCACCTCTGAGCCACGCCTGCCCAGTTATACCTTTTCTTTTTCTTTTTATTGATTTCAGAGAGAGAAAGGGAGAGGGAGACAGAAACATCAGTGATGAGAGAGAATCATTGATTGGCTGCCTCTTGCATGCCTGCTACTCAGGATTGAGCTTGAAACCCAGCAATTGCCCTGACCAAGAATTGAATCAGGGTTCATGGGTCAGTGCTCAACCACTGAGCCACACCATCCAGGTATGGCTAGACCTTTCTTAAGTGTCATCTTCGCAGTAAGACTTTCCATGATACCCCATTTAAAACTGCATCATTCATATAAAATTGAAATGTGGAAATTTAGGATGAGGCAAGTGATCAGGGTCACTAATTGTTCAATTTTGATAGAATAAATCAAAGGTGAATCTAACTTGGTTGCAAGAATGGATTTTCCTTTCATCAGTTTTACACTTGTTTGTATTACTATACAGACTCACAGCTATAAGGTGGGTTAAACCGTTCCCTATTGGGTCTAGCCCACCAGTGCTCATTATCTTCTCATTTTTCTTATTACTCTACTCAACTTTATAGTCCTTGTTATATTCATCCCATTACCTGGTTTTCCTGCTCCCTAAAATAACCACTTAAATAAAGGTATAATTTCTATTTCCCTCATCTTTCCCTTTTCCATCTAGGTAGGAAAAGCCCATCATAATCCAAATATAGATATGTATTTATTACCATTTTCCTCTCTCATTTTTACTAGATCAGTATTTTTTAAAGGGAGTGAATATACATATATATACATACACATGTGCATGCATGCAAATTATTCAATCTTGAGAAACCAAAAATTGAAATGCAACATAAGGTGTATGTATATAAGCCCCACTCACAAAAAATGTAAGATTCAGATGTTTTCCATTTTTCCCAGTTTTAGAGCATTACAGAGATGATCACCTGATCAAGAAGAACAAGAAAATCAAAGACAGACACTTGCAGCATGTAACACTGATCAGTAATAAGCCTTTGACTAGCAAGGACAAGGACGTTTGGAGGAAACCATTTCATGTGCATATAGCTCCTGTTTCTTCAACAAAAATGTCCGGTAAATATGACCCATGGGGAGTGAATTTGCAAAATATTTCTCAATTTATCATTAATAGAACCCATTCAACAAAAAAAACAAGTTGCTGTAATATCTGTGAAAATTTGCCTTTCAAAATTAACTCTGCGAGAACTCATACTGTAGAGACATTTTATGACTATAATAAAAATGGGAAAGCTGTCAGTTATAAGGAATATCTTCCTGAGCATCAAAAGTGTCAAACTTTGGAGCAAGGTTTTGAATATAATGAAACTGAAGAATTCTATGATGAGGCTGCCTGTGTCACAGATGAGAGTACTCACACAGGAAAAATGTCCTATAAAGATGGTGGATTTAGGCAAAACTGTGATAAGATGAATCTCTTTGACCAGAAAAGAACTGGGACAGAAGAGAAACACTCTCATCCTAAGCAGTGTGGGAAATCCTTCTGTGAGAAGTCAACTGTCAAGGAATACAATAAATTTAACATGGCTGTGAAACACTATGAATGTAATGCCATTGGGAATAATTTGCACAGGAATTCACATCCCACTCAGCCTCAGAGAATTGCCACAGAAGAGAATGCATTAGTATGTAATGACAAAACACAAACTGGGGATAAATCCTTTGAATATCATGAAAATAGAAAATCCTACCAGACATCAGTCCATAAAGTACACCAGAGAACTTGCTCTGAGGTAAAACCCTATAAATGTAATGAATGTGGGAAATCCTTCTGTCAAAAAGGACATCTCATTCAACATCAGAGAACCCACACAGGAGAAAAACCATTTGAATGTAATGTGTGTGGGAAAGCTTTCTCCCAGAAGTCTCATCTCAGTACACATCAGAGAATTCACACAGCAGAGAAACCCTATAAGTGTAATGAATGTGGAAAAACATTTGTCCAGAAATCAACCCTCAGGGGACATCAGAGAATTCACACAGGAGAGAAGCCCTATGAATGTAGTGAGTGTGGGAAAACTTTTGTTCAAAAGTCAACCCTCAGAGACCATCATAGAATTCACACAGGGGAGAAATCATTTCAGTGTAATGAATGTGGGAAAACTTTTGGCCAGAAATCAAACCTCAGAATGCATCAGAGAACTCATGGTGGTGAGAAAACTTACCAGTGTAATGAATGTGAAAAATCCTTCTGGCGAAAAGACCATCTCATTCAACATCAGAAAACACACACAGGAGAGAAACCTTTTAAATGTAACGAGTGTGGGAAAACTTTTGCCCGGACATCAACCCTCAGAGTTCATCAAAGAATTCACACTGGGGAGAAACCATTTAAATGTAATGAATGTGGGAAAAATTTTGTCCGGAAGGCAATACTTAGTGATCATCAGAGAATTCATACAGGGGAGAAACCCTTTCAGTGTAATAAATGTGGGAAAACTTTTGGCCAGAAATCAAACCTCAGAATACATCAGAGAACTCACAGTGGGGAGAAATCTTACAAATGTAATGAATATGGAAAATTGTATAAGAAGTCAACCCTAAATGTATGCCAAGGAATTCCGAGAGGGAGAAGACCCTATTGATATAGTAACTGGAAAATCCTTCTGGCTAAAAGATCAACCCATTTGACATTAGAAAATTCACACAGGAGAAAGACCATATAAATATGAGTGTAGGATGAATTTTGTCCAAAAGGTAACCCTGAGAGTATGTCAGAGAATTCACACAGGCTTCTGTTTTTTCAAGCAACTGTGGAGAAAGCCCTTTTGAGTAAAGTCATGCCCTATTAGAACTCTCACACATCACACAGGATAATCTGTTCAATAGTAATTTCATTTTTCCTCTAGGCACATAACTAATCTAAATTTTCCAGCCTCCCTTTTATGTAAGTGGGATTTTGTGAATGGCTAGTGGAATGTGGATCCTTATGTTGTATGACATCCAGTTCTGACAAAAGACTTCCCCAACAAATTACCAGGCTGCTGTAAGGGTAGAATGGAGATAAATTCCAGCCCAACCTTAGGTACCATGGTTTAACATGGCACAGCACAAGATAAAAGCCAGGGTGCTTGAAATATGTGGAACAAAATTCTCTTCCACAACTTTTCATTTGAACATTTTGTGAGCAAGACTTAAACTTGTATTCTATTGGGTTCTTATATGTTTGGGTATGTTTCTGCACATAATTTAACCATCCCAACTCTGGAGAGGCAGAATACTACTTGTGTAAGCTAAGCTTACATCAGCCAGAGGGTACAAACCTTACTGGAGAGTTGATATGTGAAAGAGTCCCTCAAAGATCATCAGAGAATTCATACATAAGACATCCTTTCAATATAATGAAGTAAGTAGATCATACCACCTGGTACTAGGCTTTGGATGAACAAAAGAAGTTGGAAGATTATTTTTTAATTAGATGAATGGTGAGCAGCTATCATGCAACTAAAGTAAACATGGCTTGTTTCATGTCATGAAGCCGCTATCCATCCACACCTCCTGGCACTTTCATATATCTCAGCCTCAGCTGCTTTAAGGGGACAGAAGTTTTCCTGTTTGCAAAGGGGACTCAAGGCCTTTGGCACACTTCCACATACTCTAGGGAACTTCAAGGGAGGGGAAGAACTCACGTTTTTATGGTCCTATAGGATACAGATACCCAAGTCAGCATCTTGCCAGTTCCCATGGAGGTAGGGGGGACCTAGATTTAATGTTGTTAGGGCAGGACTTACAGTAGGGAAGGGAAATTAATGTAACCTTATCAATAAATGGGGCCATTTGTACCAGTGCAATGAACTGTGGTTACTTCTGCATCTGGAAGTATAGTAGAAATTAATGTTGCCCTGGCCAGTGTGGCTCAGTTGGTTGGGCATCATCCCATGCACTGAGAGGTTGCCGGTTTGATTCATGGCTGGGCGCATGCCCAGGTTGGGGGCTTGATCCCCAGTAGGGGGCATGCAGGAGGCAGTTGATTGATGTTATCCTCTCATATATCGATGTTTCTCTCCATCTCCCTTCCCCTCTCTCTAAAATCAGTAATAAAAACTTTTTTTCTTTTTAATTTTAGAAAAGAAATTAGTATTATATGTTGTCCTCTCCCTTCCCATAAGTCAGAGAGAATTCTCCCAGTAGGAGGTAAAGAAGATATCTTTGAGGTCCCACAGCCCTTAATGACCACTTTGGGCTTCAAGTCTCTGACTGATTTTGTTGATTCTGACTTTTAGCAAAAGGAGGACCCCTTGGCAGTGAGGGGGAAGGGTGGTTTGACTTGATGCCCTGACAAAGCTACCAGTTTTACCCCTTTTGTAGGCACCTGTTAGCATAGTCTTGAGCTTTTTTACACTGGACACCTGGCTCTCAGAGGCCTCTGACTTGATTTTGGAGTGTGTCATCTTAGACTTAGTAACAAGATGGAAAGGACTTAACAACCCTCGAGTGAAAGGCACATTGTGTATTCAGGAATACAGCTGTCCTAGTCCCAGTAGTATCAGCCATACATGAAATAGTAGCTATCGTTTAGAGAGGAAATTTATCGCCACTGCTGCCTGGAGCAAAGCTGCTGGCTCAGTAGGGCCCTAAATTCATAGAGTTTAAGTAGGCCTTGTTTTACTGATGGTTTGACTAGTTGAAATCACTCAGATTCTGACTATTCAACTCTGCCATTGTACAGACCCAAAACTTGATGTGTTCTCAACTCTAGTCAGTATTCCCTTTGATAAAACTTGGTATGTTTTTATTTACTCTTGGGCTTTTTCTGTGCCTATTTGACATGTCAGATATAACACTACAGAATGACAAAAGCACCCCTCTTTGGTTCTGTGAACTGTGGGGAAAGTCACAGCTGTTGAGCACAGTATCTGGATTGTTTATCTAGATGCCCATGTTAAGAGACTATTCTCTGACAAAACTGACTGGAATCAAGTTGTTGATGAAGACTTCACTACCCTGATCGCCAGCTGCCCTGAATCAATTGTCATACTGACATAGCAAAACATCCACCATCGTATACTGGATACAAAGTAAAGGTCTCTGTATATCCAGTGCCTCACTTGATGTATTTTGAAATTAGAATCTGTACTTTATTTTGTTCTAGATTAATAGTCAATGCTCAATATACCATTTGATTAACTTACCCCTTTCCTGATTTTAAATATCTTCATATGCTAAATTGTCATTTGTAAAGATACTGTCTATGGCTGCTCATGACCCACTTCCTACATTCTGATATATTAGTAAAAGATCCTCCTTTTGTGAACAGGGCTACCTTATCGAGCCCAAATACCCGATCTTTCTGGCCTGGCACTGAATGTTTCACTGAAGGGTACTTGAATCAAGTTTACAAAAAGAGAATATTTCCTTGGATGTTAGAAATGGAACATCCCAGACCTGTTACATTGTTACTCTAGAGCTGCCAGCAGTCCTGCCAAGAAGATGTATCTACAATAAGAGAAGATAATGCTATATTTAACTATTCCTGTTAGGGCTATATTTCCAGAAAATCAAAAGATTATTGTTTACTGTTTTTATGATAGTTGGTAATTTTAAGAAAGCCTCATTGTTTCTTAAAATATTTTCTTGGAGTCTTAAGATATTTAAAGTAATCTCCCTCTAATTCCCCCTTTTATATATAATTGTTGAGGGTTATGGTTGGATTTCCTATTAAGTACAGGATCATCTACCGGCTAGGATGGAACCAATTCACCCAAGAGACCTGAGTCATTCATTAGGAGGCCAAGAGACAAAGTTTCATACACCATGATCAAATGGGATTTATTGCAGGGATGCAGGGATGGTTCAACAATTTTCAGATCAAACCATATGATACACCACATTAACGAAACAAAAGGTAGTATCATTTAATCATCTCAATAGATACAGAAAAAGCACTTGACAAAATTCAACATCCGTTCACGATCAAAACTTCCAACAAACAGGGTATACAGGGAACATACTTCAACATAATAAAGGCCAAATACCATATGATTTCCCTTATATGTGGAATCTAAAGAACAAAATAAATAAACAAAACAGACTCCTAGAGAACAAACTGATGGTTACCAGGTGGGAGGGAGATTATAGGGGGTTGGGTGAAAAAGGTAAAGAAATTAAGAAGTACAAATTGGTAGTTATAAAATAGTCACAGGGATGCAAAGTACAACATAGGGAATATGTTGTAGTATTAGTCAATAATATTGTAATGACCAAGTATGGTGCCATGTGGGTACTAGATTTATCTGAGGGAAAAATTATATAAATGTCTAACCACCATGCTGTACACCTGAACCGAATATAAAATAATATTGAAGGTCAACTATAACTTTAAAAATTAAATTAAAAACACACACCATGCAATAAAGGCCAAATAAGACAAGCCAACAGCTAACATTATACCCAATGGTGAAAAGCTAAAAGCTTTTCCTCTAAAATCAGGAAAAAACCAAGGATACCCATCTCACCACTTTTATTCAACATAGTATTGGATATCTTAGCCAGGGCAAGTAAGCAAGACAAAGAAAGAAAAGGCACCCAAAATTGGAAAGAAGTAAAACTGTCACTATTTTCAGATGATGTGACATAATATATGGAAAATCCTAAAGACTCCATCAAGAAAACTGTTAGAATTATTAAAAACAAAATCAACTGAGTAAATTTTAAAGATTTTATTAGCATTATTCAGTTATTCATAATCAGTATCCCATCTAGCAAATAGAAAGGAGGTCTGAGGAGTTGTACAAAATGAAATCCTTTCATAGGTAGAAAGGAGCAGACCAAGTCGGTCATACCAACAAAAAGCAAATTGGTTGTGGCAAGGTCACCTTCCTTTAGGGGACAGCAAGCGTCTGTCAGATTACTTCACTAATGCTGACTACATAATTCCAGATTGACTGGTTTAAGATTCCATTCCTGTGAGAGGCTGAAACTGTGGTTTAGGTATTAACTCTCAGTTTCATGTGGAGCTAAGCATAAGTGACTCCATTGTGTACCTGCTGTCTCTTTTAACAGAACTAATAAACTCAGGAAAGTTGTAGGGTAAAACAAAAATACACAAAATTCTACTGTGTTTCTATACAGTAATAATGAACCATCAGAGAAATTAAGAAAACAATCCCATTTAAAATTACATCAAAAAGATTAAAGTATCTAAGAATAAACTTAACCAATAAAGTAAAAGACTCATATGTTGAAAACTACAAGACGTTAATTTAAAAGACGAAGAGAATACAAATAAATGGAAAGATATCCTGTGCTCATGGATTAGACGAACCAATATTGTTAAAATGTCCATACTACCCAAAGTGATCTACAGGTAAGTGCAAACCCTATGAAAATTCCACCATGGGTAACAAACCATGGAAAGCAAAACCAGGGATGAGGGGAGACTACTTAGGTTTTCTAAACTGATGGCGGAAGCAAAAGTATAACTGCCTGATAATAGTTTAATGTGTAGGGAGAAGATATTTAACAAAGTTATATTATAAATATGGGAAGGTAAAAGGAAGTTTACATCACCCAAACTAATAAAATGTCAACACTAGCAGCCTGTGATAATTTATATAAAATGTGACTCCTACAGAAACCAATAAAGCCAATCAGAAACACCCTAAAAGACTACTGGCAGATTAAAATAAAACTCTAAAAAATTTTCAGGTAACCCACAAGAAAGAAAAAAAAAAGAACAGAAGAAAATTAATAAAAGCAAACTTAAGCCCTAATGTATCAATAATTACACCAAATGTAAATGATCTAATGTACCTTTTAAAAGACAAACAATCAGATGAATTTAAAAACATAATCCAACTATATACTGTCTGCGAGAAACTCACTTCAAAAGTAAAGATGTAGGGAAGTTAAAAGTAATAGAACAGGAAATGATAGACCATGCAAACATTTTTTTAAAAAGCCGAAGAGCTATATTAATATCAGACAGGAGACTGCACAGCAAAGAATATTAAGGTAGACAAAAGACAGTACATAATGATTAAAGGAACAATCTACCAAAATGACATACCAATACTAAATATGTATATACCAACAACAGAGCTTCAAAATATATAAGCAAAAACCAAGGCAACTAAAAAGAGAAATAAATCCATTTCTGATAGAACTAGACAGAAATAAGGATACACAACATAGCAAAACCAGCAACCAACATGCTCTCCTAGACATTTATAGAAAATTCCACCCAATAACAGCAGAATACATGTGCTTTTCAAAAATCTATACAATATGTACCAAGATAGGCAATATCCTGAGCAATTAAAAAACCAAGTTTAATAAAACTGAAAGTGTATTCGCCAATCACAGTGAAATCAAACTAAAAATAAGTAACAGTTATAGAAAAATCTCCAAATACTTGGAAAGTAAACAACACATTTCTAAATAATCCTTCAGGGAGGAAGTGTCAAGAGAAATTTAAAAATACATTAAACAAAATGGAATGAAAATACATCAAAATTTGTGGGCTGCCGCTAAAACAGTACCCAAATGGAAATTTATACCACAAAATCCTCATATTAGAAAACAGGACAGAAGATGTATTATAGAATTGTACACTTGAAACCTATATAATTTTATTAACCAATGTCACCAAAAAAAATTCAATAAAAAAGAAAACAGAAAAAATCTCATCAATAATTGAGTTTCCATCTCAAGAAAGTAGAAAAAGAAGAGCGAAATGAAACCCAAAAAAGCAGAAAGAAGGAAATTTACCCCCATTCATGATAAAAACCCCTAAGAAAACTAGGAATTGAGAATTTCCTCAACTTGATAAAGGACATTTATTAAAAACACA